CTTAATGATCTATTAGTCACACGCGGTAAGTTAATCAAACTTATAATTGGGGAAATGGCAATTTAAGAGTAAATTCAGATTTATGTTACCGTAACAAAATATCACTATTCAATGTCTGATTTTGTGATGATCTTCTCTTCAGCGAGGTTGGTATTTAAATGACGTTTGGCTGTAACTAAGTCGATATCCATACTGATATGGTGTACGGTCAACGACTGGTCAAATGTGAAATAAATATCCCCGTCCATCTCGACAATCTCAGGGCCGTAGTCAGATGTATAATATTTGTAAAATTTCATTTTTTGCTGTGTCGATGATAAACTTCTATCATTTTCGGGACATCTCAGCATTAGACTAAATTCCTTTGAGGTATAAGGTTAAATTTAGATGCGACCGTCCATCACCACGCTAATGTATTTCTTCACTGGCAAGTCAAACTATGACAAAGTACACGCTAGGGTAACTGACCGGCCTCTGGACAGTCGACCTTGACCAGTTGCTAGGGGTCACCTCTGCCTTAGTCTTGAAACGACGGTATATACTGAGGTGTGTATTTCCAAATTATAAATAATCAAAAACAAACTAGCCATGGTGACGTAACTATATTATAGCAGTATTTTATACGCCTCCTTCGTGGAATTTTGACAAGCGGTTCCTGGCGTGAAACGATAGGAAGTGGGAAGGTGAAATTCGGAAGAAAGGTATTAGAGGGAGGGATGGAGAGGGGACGCGGACGAAGGCTCGAGGAATGAAGCGAAACACACGAAGATGCTTCTAAACATAATTTATCATTAAGCCATAAAAGTAATTTATCTTATCTATTTTGTCAGTGATTACCTAACCCCAATAAAAACAGATTAGAGAGGTGTATAAATTATGACTATATCGCGCCATTTCTGGAGTCCCTTCATATATAGGACCTAATTAGTGAGGACTCTCCGGGACCTCACAGGTCGCGGGGCCGGACACAGAGGGACCACCGCTTCCTGTCAGTGAATATTGATTTGTTTCTTTTCATTTGAAACACAAACAAATGTGGTGGTTGAGTTCGAACTTTAAATTCTTTAGTGCGGTCTGATCAAAGGCTGTGTTAGAATAGCTGTAGATATAGGTAGATCCCTGTTAGGCCAGGGACACTGGGGTGTTCCCCTGATAGTACACAGCCACCACGCGGTCCCTTTGATGTGACCAACCCCATACCTTGTTTATATTGGGCATTATACCTGGTTACGTTTTGGTGGCCTCGTCCATCTGTCGTGTTACGTCACAGCCGGACGGACATCCCGCCTTCAGTCAGTGTCCAGTCGCTGTTTTATGGCATTTAAACACACATTATCAATTATAGGAGACTGAACGCTCCGAGTTAGTGACCGTGGGTTCTTCGCAAAGCGTTATCAGCTTGACTGTGTCACAAACGAGACACGCTACTTTAACTGCAGCATTCAATTAAATTACACACTAACTGTTGTATAGTTCAACTATCTTCGACAAGGCGTGATTTTTTAAATCAATGTTAAATGTCGGTGCAGGGTGATTTTCTGTGTACTATTTTGTATGCTAAGCGAGCCACCAGACTCAAGATGCGTAACTCTGTCTGGATCGACAGAAAAGCAAACATTGACCTACCTTGGCGTGGCTGAAATGTTGGTAAATAAGAATAAACTCGACAATTACCTGTTCGACAACACCTGTATCACCTTGCGATTGCCGAGAAATATTTACCAGGTAAACGTAGAGACATTCTTAACATCTTAAATCAGCTTTAGTCTACACTATACATAGCGATTTCCCGCCAATTCGGGAGAATGTGTCAGATACGTCGGTGATCAACTGTATCTGAGCGTACAATATTCTTCAGACCATGAAATTTTATCAAAAATACACAGTGCTTACAAGATATTAACTGATTCATACATAAAATGATAAAAAAAACTTTTGACTATATCACAAGGTGTCTGTTGTGAATGTTCTCCTTTTCACTCTCCGTGAGACGGCAATAACGACTGCTGATGACTCTCAAAGCTGTTGACTCCTCCGGGGCTCACGTCATTGAAAGCCATTTTGATTTTTTTTTATTTACTGAATAATACATTTTCGGTGTCACCTGTGTACACTGCCCGATGTTTTGCCCCTTGGTCTGGCTGCGGACGTACAAACCACAATAATTACTAAAACACAACGTGACTTTAGTAACCATCAATCATGTCTAATCAGATAGCGTCTGTCCGAAACTTCAAATGGACACTGACCAGCGGTCATCGCGATCGATTTATGGGACGTTTTCAATATTACCTATCATTAATAGAAACAACTGCAATTTGTTGGCTGTTAACTGATGCGTATCGTATACACAGCTATAGACCTTGATCACGAGATGATGTTCTGTACACAGAGACAGCCTAGACCAGGATCACGAGAATTTTTTTTATACACAGCCTAGACTAGGAAATGTAATTAGAGCACATGTCGGACTAAAAATGTAGTGGACAAGCCTTCTTGCAGCTCCTTGCAGTAAACTGTGTATTCGTGACACAGAATGTATATTCGCGAGACAGACTTACATTATAAGCGCCAGGATACCCTAGTCACCATCTCGCCATGCTCTGGTGATTATCTACAATAAACGTTGTCACTTCTTACACGAATAACGGAGGCCAGGGTTACTCGGTGTAGGTAAAGGAGGCCGAGGATAGAAAAGCGCGGGTGTGTCGAGATTACCACGTGGAGCCAAAATGAAAACACGAATAATAGTGATTCTGACCACACAACTTCCGGTCTGACAATACACATCGCATGTTATTCAGATCGCTTGTCAGTGCGTGCTTGTGTTTACCTCGTGTCAAAAATCTACGTTGTTGTATATGTATATTTTTACATGAAAGTTCATACAGTACTAAATTATACCAGCTCATCAAAGCTGGTAAAACCCATGTGTACACTTGAGTTTGGCGTATCGAGTTAGGCATAAACCGCTTTATCTTAGCCACATCAAGTCGAAATTTCCTCGAGCATGGAGAAACAGGCGTGCACCAGGTACGACCAGACCACAATATATATAACTAGTACTTCCAGATAGTGTTTATGGCCCAAATATACAACATTAAATAAACGTAGAAACCTATCACGGAAACATATACAGGCAGACGTATAGAAACTGGTGTCAAATATACCTTTATTAAAATGTTTAAATCTTTTAATAATTATCGTTTAAGGACTGAGCAGTCTCGGATTTGACACATCTTTCACATGCGCTGATAGTCGTTAATATCCACAAGCGCACGCGGATCTATTGATACTGCAGGTTGAAGTGTAACTATTTATATGTGTGCAGGTGTCGGTCTGTAACCTGTCTAGATTTCGCGTGGAAGACTGTAACTTCGTTTTCCTGGATTCAAAACTTCCGTAACCATCACGGAATTATCATGCCTTATCCGTTTAAAAAATGTTTTGTTTTTTCGTCCTAATAAAATCATCACATGATCGATGTAAGATATCGATATACCTTAACATCGTGGTCATCCGTTCCGGCCAGGTGGTCAGTTTGACAGGTGTCACGGAAACAGCAGGAGGCGTAACCAGGCAACATAGCACCTGGCACAGTCGTAACTCATCAGTTCACACACGTATATGTTAACAATTATCAGATGGAAATGAGTAGACGATATCAAAACTTCCTACAAAAAAATGTTAACAAACTTGGGATTATGTACACCAGAAGCGATTAATATCTTTCGTGAAGTGTAAGACTGTTTTTAATCTTTTTGTATGATTAGGTGGCATATGACAACACTTACTCAGATCGACGTATGATAAAGAAAAGGTGTGTATGAAATGTATGGTCTTCAGCTAAACGTCATATCTCTTTATCAAAACAATTGTCAACTCACCTAGCGACATTTTTTTCCATAAATGATAAAATTGAATATTTGCCAAGTACCCGCTTACCGAGTACTTAACATATTGCAAGTTACTAGGTCCGAGGGTGGGAACAATATCTTGGTTTACTTGGTGTTGGTCGGGGACAAGAAGACCACTTAGTCATGTTTTTAGTCAGCGATATGTGGGCTGGTTATTGGTTATTTAACTTCCCCACAGAAACAAGGTCGTTTTAGTACGTAAATATATGCACTGTAGCATGTGAGCGCTTTGACACAATTCGGTTTTCCAGCGTGTATGTATATAGTTTCTAAGTTTGTAGTGTTCCAGTTACGACGTATTTAGGTTGTGTTACGAAGTATTAGTCGTGTATGACTCAATTACTGCCCATAATTATGTGTACTGTGATATCCAAGTCAGTACTGATATTTCTCATTACTCATAAACATCATTACCGCCAGTCAAATCACTTCTGTCACAATTTAAAATTGATATACACACGACTCGTTCTAAATTTACATTAAACCAGACAGTTGACACGCCAGAAGTGCATATTGAACTTTGATGGTAGGTCCTGCCTCACGGTCTAGGTTCATTTGTCGAAGTTAGCCATCCAGCCTATTCTCCAATTAAATCTGGCACTTTGAAACGTTCACAGGCATTATAAGCGCAGTTGTCAATCGGAGGTGTCATAATCACGTTTAATTAGCAATTAGCACCATTAATATATATCCTCCCCGCAAAGTTAGTCTACAAATATCCCTAGGCCTCATATTCAAATCTATCAAAAACACCTCTTACAATAAAGGCGAGTCTATCCCTAAGTCAATAATGTATTTAACACGTTAAGTCACAATTTTCCTACATCCGCTGGTAATACATACTGCAGGCTGACGATTATACAATGTTTGCATTGGAAAGCACTCAACCGTGAAAATTCACAATTATGACACTTAGAGTTGATTGACAACTGTAGGCGTGGCCAACTCCACGTGATGGCAAGTAAACACGCCGTCAGTACACATGTGTACTGTCTGGGCTTATAATACACATATCACTCTTGTTTATCAACATATAACAACAACCAGAATTTGTAGAAAATTTGTTGTATTTTTTCACTACAACATAATAATATTAATATAAATGAATGCACAATTTTGGATGTGCAAAATAATATTTACATTTGGCTTGTTTTGTTTTTCCTTGCCATACGTAAACACTCTTGTTCGTTGGATATGCATATCACACTCGCTAGCACACTCGCCGATGGGCATTATACTTATAAATAACAATCTTACTAGCACAATAAATAAACCCCATCCTTTTGTACATTAATCTTTTCAGATTTAGTTATCTTTCTCTACAAAAATGCTTTGTTTTAAAATAACATAATAGAAAATGTTATAAAATCGTGTGACGATGGTACCGAGGTTTTTTTTATAATAAAATACAGTCTCTCATCACATTTCTACAAAATGTACAAAAAACTCATGGATTTGTTTCAACATATACTCTCTCTGAAAAATTTACAATATTTACACGTTATATTTCGGATATTTCCTAATACAAAGTTCCCTGCTGTTTAACAAGTACGGAATATGAAAATATACTTTAATGAGAAATATCCCACGGGCATTTTGTACCAATGGTCAGATACGCATCAACAGTTATTGCATTTCATCGGCTAGAAAAAAATTGCGGTAGAAAAAAAATGATTGAATTTCGATGATTTACTGACCTGATCTGGTGTCCGTCCACCGGTAAAATTGACCGTCCGTTATAGTATGACTCTATATACACTCACAACACACATACAGTGAACCACACAGCCCTATATTAACTTAATATATACATTCTCCATCGGACCTAGTGGAGCACTCTGAATGACAGTATTCCTCCCAACAATTTTTGCAAGTCCTCACTATTTTGCACATTGTCCCGTTTATACACACATTTGCACAATGAATGAAAGATCGACATATATTATGTAAGTACCATTGGTAGTAAGAGCGTTCTCACCAACACAGCCAGTCTAATGGGCAGCAATCGATCCCAGCACTGAAATGTCCAACCACTCGTTTTCCAGACCGATCATTTCGGACACTTCTGGTGTGGAATAATCCGGGAATTCAAAATGTGATCCATTGCTTGATGTGGACATAGCACTGGAAACATGACAGGACTGATGTGCCTGTTGTATATCAAAGTTTGGGAAGTCTGTATCGGCTAGTTTACTGAGATCCAGATTTCCGAGTTCTAGCTGCCAGTTGGTAGGCATTTGTAAAACATCCGTAAGATTGTCGAGATCCGCTAGGGAGGACCCGTCCCCGTGTTGGGAGGGTCCATGGTGAGGTAGACTGGTCTTTGCGGGCTCTTCCTGCGGAGAGGCTGCCGGGGTGTCGTAGATTTCCTCTGGGTAGAAGCTTGTGGACTCCGGGGTTGGGGGCGAGTACACCGAGGGACTGGACGGCACTTTGGCGGGAGGGGTGAGTTGACAGGAAGACACGGGCACATGCCGACTCGCTTTTATACTGTCTTTGAACTTTTTATCAATTGTCAGCTTAAGTCTGAGTCGACTGTCAGCATTAGCAGTGTTCACATTGAGATTGTTCGTGGCGTTTAAAAAGCCCCTGTTCACCGATTTTTGTCGGTGTTTGTCATGTCTGTGTTTACTTGAGCTTTTGGTTACTTTTCCACTCTCTGGTTTACCCACTGGTTTTGCTTTTTTCCTAGGACGGTACTTGTAATCGGGATATTCCTGCATGTGTAGCAGCCGTAGTCTCTCGGCCTCCTCAATGTATGGCTGGCGTTCGGTCTCCGTCAATAATTTCCATCGTTTTCCGAGTCTTTTACTTATCTCAGCATTATGCATATCCGGAGACACCTCTGAAATCCGTCTCCTTTCGATCTGAGACCACACCATGAAAGCGTTCATTGGGCGCTTCACATGATTAGATGCTTTTTTGCATTGAGTCGCATCTGTGTATGGAGTGTGTGATTCTGGATCGATCTGCTGTGAGCCAAAATTACCTGACGACTGGCTCGCCGGGCTGTTCTGTGGAACCATTGTCACTGTATATAATTTATCACACTGTTCTTAAATTCCAAACGAAGAAAAATAAACCAAGGTGGGTACAGTGCCTTCGGTAGAAGGACTGTTTCCCTGTGTACACACTGTTCGGTATCACTTCATAAACTGAGAATCTCGTGGCCTAAACCTCTTTCTATACACGCGGGTTAGCTGTATCACGTGACATTATGGTTTCGAATTCGCCCAATCAGCTCGGGGTCTTGTAACTCCGCCCATCGAGGGCGTTCCTCATATTAATGTACCAATGATTGAGGTACAAAGCAGGCAGTATATCAATTAAAATTCCAACCTACTTTTCCTGGATACTCGATGAAAACTTTAACAAAAATAGACAGAGGCAGTGTCCAGTCATGGTTACTTATGAAGTCATACTTTGGCTTAGTATAGATTAAATCTGTGACAATAGTCTTGTGCTTGAGCGGTTTTAATTGTGACATAGTCAGAAAGGCACTGATTCTTATCAACCATGTGGATTTCAGACTCGGTGTTTTTTAAATCTTTAAGAATAAAACACTGTAATGATTTAAAAATCGTTAGTTTTATGGAATATTTAAATAGAAAATATTCAATTATTGAGTTTCTTTTATTTAAATATTCAAAATTTAAATATCATTCGAAAGTAACATGTGGCATGCGACGTATTGAACACAAATAATTGATGAGTAAATGACACTTCCCAGCAGGTGTTTATAAGGCTATATACAGGGATCCTTGATAACCTTACTGTGCAGGTATAAGTAATTGCATTGGTTTTCACCTGTCTTAACTTTATTTTTTTACGACGTATTTGTTACTCTTGTCTTTTTTTATATTTTCAAATCGCAAAATTATCTTGACATTTGAATTGTGTTTTTTCGCTTTCTTTGAGGAAACAAGTTCTTTGGTAGTTACTTATAAAAAAGTGCTTGTCAAATTTATCACGTTTTAGTCCGTCCGTTTGTTTCCTGCATTTCTATGTGCTATTTATGACAACTTCAGCGCGGAACTGATGCTAGCTCTTATCAGTATTTTACGGCTGAGCGAGCGAGGGAGAGGTACCCAGGTCGTCAACTCTCTCAAGGTCATATTTCTTCAAAAATGAGTCACTGGCTGGTGCTGACGCTGGAAAGGCGGCGTCATCCCCAGCACGAGAAGGCTGACACACTCTTGACCCGCCTCGCTCGCTGTCTGAAAAAACAGAAATCCCGAACGCGTCGATATCAACATTTTTAGTCAACAATCTTTTCACCGCTGGTTCCAAAACAGTTTTCCGTTCAGAAATAGGCAAATTTTTAATTTACTTAATATACTTGATTTTTATCGGGTTGTCATCTGACACCTCGTGCGGCAGATCTCATTTTACGACACGCGCTTGTGCAAAATATTTATATATTGGTTTTGAAAACGAACTTACGCGTCTTCAAATCGTGGGAACCTAGCATTATCGATTAGCTGGGTTCACATAATACCGCATTATGGGTAGATTCAATTTAAACTTAATCATGTGACCTTACTTGGCACGCGTCGTTTCTAATTTGCATATGTAAGGGTGCACGCGACTCTCTCGTGTGCGCGTGCCCACTTCAAATTGGAAGACATTCACAATCCGTTTTTAACGAATCACACTCGGTTTCCCACCCATACATTAGAGTCACATGACGCCATATGGTATCTCGTTAAAAATACCCAACAAAGGGAATATGAAAATGGTCTTTGGAAAGGGAAAAAATATGGTCGTATTTTTTTTATTACAAAACAAAATAGGAGTAACCCATGCCTAGTGGTACTTATTGAATGACGTTGTGCTGAATTAATAGGAAAGCACTATACGGCATTTAGTACAATCTTTACAGCTTTAACTAAAGAACAGAAAACTACAATTAGATTCGCCAATCTGTTTTGATCAGGAAGTTTTTTTTTCTTTTTCTTTTTCTTTTTTTTTTTTTTTTTATAAAATTACAGATAAGATGAAACGTATCAACACATTATGACATATTGCCCCGGAAAATAATAATAATAATAATAAAAAAAAATTCAATCATTTGTAAACAATTTTTTAATGTATTGAAATAATCAGATTTATACGTTCGAGTGGACTTCCGAGTGGTCAGTCAGGCCGGGTTGTCCTGCAAGTGTCAGTGACCAATAGTTGACCAGAAGCTAACCTGTACATGAACTGGTTTCTCGTTCAATTTGATCAGAAGTTTGGGTGTCGCCGAGGCCAGCAAATTGGCCGGATCTGAAAAGAAATTTGCGTTTGTGAAGCCGTCTTATGTGCCATTCAGAATTATTTTCAATAGATGTAAATGGCTAAAGGTTTCAATAGGGTTTAGCTTTTCATGTCCCTCCTTCAGTTGTGACGTCACGGGCAGGTGCTGCGGTAGGTGTAGCCTACGGATGGGCACGCGACCTGCGCCAGCTGTCGCCAGAACGAACCAATCACATATCTGCTTTGCTACACGACAACTGATTATGACTGTGAACAGGATGATAGCCGAAATTTAGTAAGGCCCTATGTTATGTTCATTCAGTTATTATTGCTATAAGACGAGAAAAGTGACGGCGGAACATAACACAGTCAACCGTGCACGCACGTGTCCCCATAATTAGTAAACTACATATGATTGGAGTAGCCGTCCTGGTTTAGTATCACAGCATCAGTGAAGGATATAAAATTTCATACCCGAAATTCTTTTCTGATGAGGCCAAGTTTTCGATCGATAATTTTGAACTTGAACTGGAAACCGACAAGCACGTTCACTATTACCAAGTCCGGCTTCGTCACCAGTTTTCTGTTGTCAGCGAAAATAACAGTGCTGAAAAGCATAACCATAAGAATTAAAGGGAGAAAGAGAGAAAAAAAAATCAATACATGTATTTAAGAGAATGCACCAGAAAATTTGGACGGACAAGGAAATTCGTAAGACAATATAGAAACAGATAAGTCGACAGATGGTCGGCACCATTTAAAACATCAGCATAGGCCGCTAGCTCGTCAATGGCGTAAGATTGTCACTTTAACTTGATATGGATGGAATGCAGATTTCAGCATATTTTATCAAAAAAAAAACACCACTGAAAACACAGTATCATGATAATCTAAACACGTACTCTAAAATGACGACAGGATCATAAAAATGAAAGGAATAAAATAACTAAACGCATCATGAAAGGACCATCACAAAAATATCACTATAGCATCACTACATGATGTCCAACACCCCCCCCCCCCAAAAAAAAAAAAAAAAAAACTGATTTAAAGCACCACGACATAACCGTCACAAAACATCACTAAAGACACCACGACATGACCGTCAGAAAACATCACTAAAGACACCACGCCATGACTGTCACAAAACATCACTAAAAACACCATGACATGACTGTCACAAAACATCACTAAAAACACCATGACATGACTGTTACAAAACATCACTAAAGACACCACGACATGACCGTCACAAAACATCACTAAAAACACCACGACAGGACGTCACAAAACATCACTAAAACACCACGTCATGATTGTCACAAAACATCACTAAAAACACCATGACATGACTGTCACAAAACATCACTAAAAACACCATGACATGACTGTCACAAAACATCACTAAAAACACCATGACATGACCGTCACAAAACATCACTAAAAACACCACGACAGGACGTCACAAAACATCACTAAAACACCACGTCATGATTGTCACAAAACATCACTAAAAACACCATGACATGACTGTCACAAAACATCACTAAAAACACCATGACATGACTGTCACAAAACATCACTAAAAACACCATGACATGACTGTCACAAAACATCACTAAAAACACCACGACATGACTGTCACAAAACATCACTAAAAACACCACGACAGGACGTCACAAAACATCACTAAAACACCACGTCATGATTGTCACAAAACATCACTAAAAACACCACGACAGGACGTCACAAAACATCACTAAAAACACCACGACATGACTGTCACAAAACATCACTAAAAACACCACGACATGACTGTCACAAAACATCACTAAAAACACCACGACATGACTGTCACAAAACATCACTAAAAACACCACGACAGAACGTCACAAAACACCACTAAAACGCCACGGTATGACGTCACAAAACATCACTAAAACATCACGAGATGACCGTCACAAAACATCACTAAAACATCACGAGATGACCGTCACAAAACATCACTAAAACATCACGAGATGACCGTCACAAAACATCACTAAAAACACCACGACATGACTGTCACAAAACATCACTAAAACACCACGTCATGACTGTCACAAAACATCACTAAAACACCACGTCATGACCGTCAGAAAACATCACTAAAACACCAAGACGATTACGAAAAGTGTCCAATGGCGACTTGCTTTCTCATTCGACACTGGACTCTGCACGTGTACGCTTGTCTGATATACAGGTGTGTCATTATGTTTTTACATTATAAACGTGTCGTAATTGCATAATTGCGTACGATGCACGTGTATGCATGTGAGAATAAAGGGGTTATTCAGTAGGAGTTTGGTAATTGAAAAATATATGTTCGTATCGATGTATCATATATCACTTGTATTTTTAATTATCGGACAGGATGTTCTGTCACATTTGTACTCTTGTTGCCAAGCGAAGGGTCCACTTGAAAACTGCACTTGGGACATGGGACACTACAGTGATGTTTGGCCTTCATCAGCTGTTAAACAATCGAAAAGGTGATAAACGGTAACAGATCACCTCTAATTTGTCTTTTGTTATATGGGGTCTCAAGTGAGCTGACGGTGTCGAGACAACTCGTGAGCTGAAAATACGGAGACATTTCGTCTCGTTGCCATTGTAGTGGGAATACACTATTAATAATGAGCTTTAGGTATCAAGTCATTTCGTCTAGTTGCTACTGTAGTGAGAGTAAAGTGTTAATAATGAGCTGTAGGTATCAAGTCATTTCGTCTCGTTGCTATTGTAGTGAGAGTTAAGTGTTAATAATGAGCTGTAGGTATCAAGTCATTTCGTCTCGTTGCTATTGTAGTGAGAATAAAGTGTTAATAATGAGCTGATGGTATCGAGATATTT